TGGGCACCTGCAGTGTTTAAGGAAAGCAACGATCTAGTTCATAGTCACTAAAGCCCACGGGTCGAGGAAGGGAAGTAGCAGAAGGTGGAGCCAAAAGTCAGGCTAAGGCTGGATCTCCAAGGGCCTCAAGGCCACCGGGGCTTAGTGCTCTGGGTGCTGCGGAGCTCGGGGCAGTTCGTCGTGGGGAGTGCCCGGTGGTTCAGCACTTGGAGCACGACAAGCTGGCCCCTGGGTTGAGCAGAGGCCAGGAGGCCGACAGGGGGTGGGGGTGGGGGGGGGGTGGGGGACCAAATCCGGGCAGTGCATGGCATGGCTCACCAGAGCTGGGTGGGTTAGCACTTGACCCACCGTCTCTGCTTGGACAGGGGGGAGTCCATAGTGACCGAGGGTTCTGGTCTGAGCTGGCAGTGGTGCTGTTAATGAGACCAGAGGAGTGCTGATGACAAGTGTGGTTCTAAATGGGTGAACACACGTGCTGCCCAGAACCCTTTTAGCATGGTGCTTACATAAGTGAGCCACACAGCCACCCTGTGCCTCCCCTCGCACTGCAGACAGAGAATTCTCCTTCCTGGGAGATCCCCCTTCTTAGAGCCCCACAGTCCGGGCCCATCTCCACCCCACCGGTCCTCCCCCAGGTCCCAGCACAGAAACTCTTATCCTAACAAAGCAAAGTCCTGCAGTTACTTCGCACTCTCTGCCTGCTTTCTCTCTGGCTGCAGCGTGATGTCTGTCAGGACCCAGGCTTGTATGACTGTTCAGGCCGTTCCTTCTTCCTATATGACATGAGCCACTTTTTGGAAATGTTTCTTTTCTATACATGGGAGGTTCCTAAAATCACACAGCATGGGTGACCTGCCCTGCCCCCCTGGCCTGCCTGTGTTCTCATTGGTAAGAAGGCCAGTTTCACCTTCTGCAGGGTTTTCTGGCTAATTGGCCACAGGCTCTGAATTTGAAAATGTAGTTAATACTCCACAGAAAACCAACCTAGTTTCTGTAAAGAGCCAAATACTGTTGGATCAACTTAATGCAAATAGCTGTTGAAATAGCTCTTTGGGGTTAGACCTCCCCCACCCCACTCAGTCCTGCCTTCAGTCCCTTGCTGCTGCTCTTTCGGCTGACCCAGGCAGTGACAGCCGTGAACCTCTGGGCCAGAAGCATCTTGCTGGACGTGTATTGGCAGAAGGTTGTCCCCTAGTAAGTAACAAGGACATTTTACCCATGTGGCAGGGACCTCAGAGGTCACCTCATCCAGCACCACCATTTTACAGATGAAGAAACTGAGGTTTAGAGAGGCAGAGCGTCTGGCATACAGTCACATGGCTAGAAAGGGACACAGCCAGGGTGGCACCCAGGTCTGCTGACTTCTGCCTTCCCAAGACCCTCTGGTGACCCATTCTGAAATTTAGCAGCTTTTACTTTTACTTTTCCTGTCCAGAGGAAAGGCTGTTTTGTAAAGAGCCGACCAAGTCCCAAGCAGGAGAGCCCTGGACTTGAACTCCTCTTGGTCCCGATGACAAACCCCACTCGGTGTCCCCTACAGATGCTACTTCTCCATGGGATGTGACACCCCAGAGGAGGGGAGGGGTCCCCAATGACTCATACTCACCTCCTGATTTCTTCTGTCCCTCCAGATGCCCCCAGACCCTCCCCTACAGCCAGGGACCCTGCTGCTACCCTAGGTGACCTGCAGGCTCTCCCTGTTGGCAAGATTCCAGCACTTTAAGTGACAGGCAAGCGCTATGGAAGAGAGCAGCCTCTCCTAGTGGGATCAGTTCTGCTCCTCTCCTGGGGCTGCATTTCTCAGCGCCCCTCCCCCCCCAACTCCTTACTTGGAAGCCATGTATTTTTCTTCCTTTCTTGCATAATCTGATTTTCATCCCTTTGGACTAAAAATTTTGCTCATTACTTCACCTTCTACACTAAAGCTCCTAGCAAAGCAAACACCCCAACACAGAGAGAACAGGATGGAGTGCAAGTCCTGAACAAATATCAAAAGCTCTCAGAACACCTGCCCCCAGGCTAAGGGGCCCAAAGCTTCCTGGAAGCACTGTGGCCTGTGACACTCAGCACAGCACCACCTACTGGGGGAGAGGGGCAGGACACTTTGACCCTCTTAAATCCGACATCTACACATTGGTTCTCAACTGGAACCACCAGGAAACTTAAAAAAGTATTCATGTCCCATCCCCTGAGATGTCACCGGGCCTGGGGTGTGGCTTGGGTTTTTCAGAGGCCCCCAGGTGATGTGCAGCCAGGCTGAGAAACACTGCTGTAGAGGGGTGACGAGGCGGAGGAGGGCTCACTTTGCATGACAGATGGGGCTCCAGCCCCCAAACCTGAAGGCATTCTTTTAAATGGATGACCATTTCTCTGGGCAAAGCATCAGGTTTTTTTTTCAATTAGATTCTCAGTGGATTCCATGTCCCCCAACTGATGAAGTGTCCCCAGTGCAGTGCAAATGTGCCTCTTAGGTGGCTCCAGACCCACTGCTCAGCCGTGGGGTTGACAAGCCTGATGGATAATGGATAGTGCGCAGGCGTCCAGAAAGGGCCTTCAGCAATTAGAAATTAGATCAACTCAATGTGGTCACGTCGACTGTTTCATGCTGCTCAGAATCTCTTCCTGGCACTCTCATGTGCCTTTGATTAATAAAAGATGAGAAACGAATTATTACTTAATTAACACACTGAGTTTGGTAGGCAAAAACCTTCCAACATAAGGTCCATGGGGAAAAGTAATCAAAGGGGTCCTTGGTGGCTACAGATTGGGAACCACTGATCTAATACAAGCCCCTTATTTGAGAGATGAAGAAACTTAGCACCAGAGAGGTTAAGGGACTATCTTGAGGTCACACAGCTAGTTATGCAAAGCTGGGACCCTTTCCCAAGTCTTCCAGGCACGCTGTAGGGGTCAGAAAGAAGATGTGCAGGATGCTTTGCTGGATACTCTCACTCAACACAATCCCATGGACCGGACTCAGGAAATTTCTCACTGGTCATGGAGGTCGTGTGGGCCAGAGATAACATACACTCTCCAAGAATTTGCGAAACTGTTGTAGTCCAGGATTTCATCGAAGCTAAGACACCATCAATTGTAAGATATATCATTGTTTGCTGTACCACTAAGAAAAAGTACTGCCAAGTATAATTGCAAGATACCATTAATCACAAGAAACATGTTGATTTTCGAGATGTAAAAATGTGAGGAAAAAATTGGAACTCAATTGTCGCACATTAGCTTCTCCCACTCTGTTCAGAGCCTCCCGGTCACCTGGTTTTCTTACCTGCTGGAGCTGCTATGGGGTTGAAATGGAACTTTGAAGAAAACAGATTATTTAAAAAGCAGAAATAGCCTGGCCAGTGTGGCTCAGTGGTTGAGCATCGACCCATGCACCAAGAGGTTGCTGGTTCGATTCCCGGTCAGGGCACATGCCCAGGTTGTGGGCCTGATCCCCAGTGGGGGGCATGCAGGAGGTGCCAATCGATGTTCTCTCTCATCGATGTTTCTTTCTCTTCCTCTCCCTCCCTCTCTCTCTAAAATCAATAAAGAAAAAATGTATAAATCAAAAATAAATAGAGCAGGTGCAGTCCAATCTGCGAGGTCCAAGGACAAAGTCCTGGAGTGGCCCTCAGAAAACCTGAGTTTGAATCTCAATTCTGAAACTTCCCAATGTTGTCATCTTGAGCGTGTTCTTATTCTCTCCGAGCCTCAATTTGTTCATCTGCAAAACAAAGATAATGCATGCCCCCACATCCTCGCACAGCTATTGCAGAACTCAGATCAGGTGCCTAGTGCATATTAATGGCTGAGAACTACCTCCCAGGTGCTCAGCTGATGCCCGTGACTCCTGAGAACAGAGAGCTGTTAGACAACGGGGCGGGTCATGCAGAGTCGTCCTGGGCTGATGGGAACACCATGCAGGGTGAACATATGTGGACTGAGGCCAGTGGGGCTACTCTCACTCTGGCCACACTCAGGACCCCTGAGGGAGCAGTCTTCACCCATCTGAGGAAGAGAACTCATCCCTAAATGAGGCAGGGAGACCAGGAGCTAGGCAGAAGTCTGCCTTCCCAAGCTGGCAGAAACGGTCAGAGGTCCCAGGGGTATTGCCCCCACCCAGACCCTGGGCAGGCACCCTAGTAGCCCCTTCTGGAGCACACACTTCTGCTGAGCTGAACAGCCAGAGCAAGGGTTGCTCAGCCCCGCTGCACAAAGAACCAGGCAAGGAGCCACCCAGCTCTGTTCCCAGGTGCCCTTCCTCAGGGTGCACCCCTGACCTGCCAGTCAGCAGTGTCTCGTCCCTGCCCCCTTCTCAGGGCTGAAAGGGCATCAGACAATTGGCAAAGAAGACTGTCTCCTGCTCAGCCCTCCCGGAGTCCCAGACAGACTCCGGCTGTGGCACACCTGTCCTTTCAACCCTGGAGCTCTGTCCCACTGCGCCTGCCCAGGGGAGGCCCTCCAGCAATCAGCCTCTCCTCTGGGAGCCTCCCTTTCTTCATCTGTAGGGCAGAGATGAAAACCTCCAGTGCCTCCCCCACGGGCACATATAGGGGTGGAACGGGAGGGTGTGAAGTGCCCGCCTGAGAATGTGGACCAGAGGAAGGAGCGCTCTGGGGGAGGAAGGGCACAGGGTGGCTGGGAATCGGGGCGGCGAAGGGGCTCACAGACAGAGGTGTCCCACATTGCAGTCGTCTCCCCTACCTCTCGGGGACAGAGACTCACAGGCAACGTGGTGAGAGGCACGGAGTTGGGAGTCACACCTGGATGCAAACTCCGCCCCTGCAACTCAGGTGTGTGCCTGTGGACAGGTCCCCGGCCTCTCCAGGCCTCCCCAGGCTCCCATTTCCTCCTCTGTCAACTGGGGACCCACACTGTCCTCACAGGGTCTTTGAAGGACTAACTGAGATGAAGCAGAAAACGTGCTGGGCTGCAGGGGGCGCTCACGGAACCGCACCTGGGCCAGCCCAGCGCCACCGCCTCTGATTCCGGGCTCCCTGCAGGTGGGTGGCGCCGCGGTCCTGGCCGTGGGCGTCTGGACCCTGGTGGAGAAGAGCGGCTACCTGAGCGTCCTGGCCTCCAGCACCTTCGCCGCCTCCGCCTACATCCTCATCTTCGCGGGCGCCCTGGTCATGGTGACCGGCTTCCTGGGCTTCAGCGCCATCGTCCGGGAGGACAGGAGCTGCCTCTCCACGGTGAGTGCCGCAGGTGGGAAGCCTGCCCGGGCCTCGGGGAGCCGAGAGAGCCCTCACCGCCCAGCCTGTGCCCCCAACCGGCTCCCGCACAGAGAACCCCACCTGTGACGGTGGCCCCTGCCTGCTCCCTGAGGCCTGGGCCTGGCTGGAGGGGACGGCTGCCCTTGGGTGGGCTGTTTGCCTTAGTCTCCAGGGTCTTAGGAACTAAGCCAGGAGGGCGGTCAGTCCTGGCACAGCTGCTGCCCCCCCTTCCCTCCCCCTCCCTTCTCTCCTTCCAGATTTTATCATGCTGATTTTCAAAGCTATGACAAATGAAAAAATGTCAATGAAACTCCATGTCCCATCAGACTCAACAACACGCATCTCAGAGCCAGTCCGATTCTTCCGTACCTGGCACCTCCCCCACCCCACGTCCTCTCTCTTCATCTGTAAATATCTCAGTGTGTACCTGCAAAACTTAAGGGTCCTTTTCTAGAAAACATAAGGACAATATTATTATCACACCTAAAAACAATGAACAGCCAGCCATTCCTTAATATCATAAAATAACCAGGCAGTTTGAAATTTCCCCAATCGACCCATAACTGTCTTCTTTTAAAGTTTGTTTGAATCAGAATCTAAATTAGGTCCATGTATTAAAATTGGTCCATTTGTCTCTTTAGGTCTCTGTTGGTCTCTAAGCCTCTAAGCTTCCCCATCAATCTCTCTCTCTCTCTTTTTTTTTCTCTCCCTTGTGATTTATTTGTTGAAGGAACCAGGTCATATGTGCTATAGTTTCTCCCAGTCGGGCTTTTCTGATGACATCCTGTGGTGCTATTTAACGTGTTCTCCTGGTACTTGAGTCTAGGAGCTCGATGGGACTTGGGTTGGGTTGTTTGGACAAGAGTGTTCATGGGTGGCGGTGTGGGCAGCACACACGTCCTCCTGGGAAGCCGGCCCAGTGTCGGGATGCCAGCACGGGCTGCGGGGCCAGAGCCAGCGTCCAGTTCAGGACCAACCCTCTAACGCACATGCACTTGCTGCCTGGACCAGCTCCCCACCCTCAGTCTCCTCCTAAAGCCAAGACCGGTGTGGGCAGGGGGGACTGTAGAACATCAGCAAGGAAGGGCAGGGCCAGGGCCAATCCAAGTCTCCACGAGGAGTCAGGGGGAGCCTGGAAGGAGTCATGGTGGGGAGAAGCCCTAAAGGTTGTGCCCTCCCTGCCCTGCTGCCCCGGGCCCACAGTCCACGTGAGACTCCCCTTGGCAGTCTCGAAGGCCAGAAGGAAAGCCTGAGGCTCAGACTGACAGTGCTCTGCCTTCGGAGCCCCTGATCACTGCCTCCCCTTCTTCACTCCCTTCCTACACGACCATTGGCCAGGCCTGTCCCACCACCTGGGCCGAGCCATTCAGAAAACAGTGTCTCCAGTCACAGCCTGACATAGTCCGAGGCCTGCGTGGGGGGACCAGGCCCTGTGTCAGGGCTGTGCAGGGAAGAATGGACACTTAAGGAGGGCCAGGGCCTGGGACTTGCCTGCAGACCTGGTGCACCTCTCTTGCCCCAGCTTCAGAGGGTCAGCAAACTGAGGGGCCTTCTCATCCCCCTGGGCCTTGAGGCGGGGCTGGTACAGGGACAGCTGGACGGGCAAGGTACCTTCCTTCTCAGAGTCATTGTACCTGCTGCCGCATTCACTGTCATCTCACACAGAACTGAAGAATTCTCTGGTCCAAACATAGAGAGGCACCAGCTCAAAAGGGAGGTCAGGAAAAAGTGCGCACACACACACACATGCATGCACATGCACACACATGCATGCACACACATGCACTCTCGTACACACGCACATATACATGTTTGCGCGCACCCACACACATACATGTGCGCACACACTCACATGCGTGCAGCCCCCAGTCCAGGAGTGTGGAGCAAACCGCGAAGCTTGGAGTCTTCTCCCCTTGCTTCTCCCTGCCGCCCTCTGAAAGGCCCAGAGGTAGAATTGGCGCAAGGACAGAGCACAGGTGAGGCTATGGGTCCTGAGCGATGCATTTCCTGCCCACCAGCCCCTGAGTTATTGAGCACTTCATTGTTTTAAACCAAGAAGTTGGCTGTTAAGACCTTTCCTGGGCTCACACAAGCAGGACTTTTACAACCGAGGCTCCCATTTAGAGACCAGCGGTGTGGTTCAATTAAGGCAGCTTAGAAGTGTTCTGTTTCCTGGAGGTTCCTTCCTGGCCTCACCGCATTTTTTCAACGTGTGCCTTAACTTTCTTTTGAAATCTTTAATCAGCTAAAGGCTGGAGGAAACTCCAGAGGAGAAATGCAATAAGTCTAGCTCTGTAAGCTCTATTATAAGTGGTCCCCCTGCCCTGGCTAGTGTGGCTCAGTTGGTTGGAGCGTTACCCCATATACCGAAAGGTTGTAGGTTTGATTCCTGGCCAGGGCACATATCTAGGTTGTGGGTGTGATCCCTGGTCAGGGCACATACAGAAAGCAACCAACTGATGTTCTCTCTCACATCGATGTCTCTCTCTCTCTCTTTCTCTCTCTCTCTCAAATCAATAAGCATATCCTTGGGTGAGGATTGAAAACCAAAGTGGTCCCCCAAGAGAGGAAAAGATGAAAGACTGGGCATCTGTATTAGGTGCATCCAACTTGAACCGGGGAAAGGGAGAGGCCTGGTATCAGAATTTCCCAAGAAGCACCTGCAGAGAGCTGTCCAGCTCACACAGGGCACAGGCCTGTCCTGCCCAGACCTTTCTCCCCGCATGTCTGCAGCCCCTCAGAGTCACTGTCCCGAGAAGGAAAGGTCCATCAGGAACAGGAATAGCACATCCCGGCTGGCGCTTGAATGATGGTCACTTGGCATCGAAAACCTGCAAAGGGGACGGGAACGGGGTTTAAATTATTCACACCAGCTCTTCCTTTTAGGGAAGGCCACGTAAGGAAGCCAGATGGTTCAGGCCATCTAAGCCTACGGCCGATGACCGGACAGAGGCCACCCTGATCAAAGGAAAGGGATATTTTTAGAGTTTTGAATATGGGCTCAGGAAACTGTTCTATCTGAAGCCTGATGAAGATTATGATGGATGGCCCAGGCTAACCTGGGTCTTTGTCAGGAGCTCTTTTATATTTATGGGGCAGATTAAAAAGTAAGAAGTTCTAGAATCAGTTTCTGAAAATGAGGGGACGCCAGACTGTAACACTCCCATCAAATACATCCAGCTGTGGTTAGCTGCACAACGAGGCCTAGACTGAAGGACTAGGGCTGGGAAGCAGGTTGTCATGGGGTTTGCCCAATGTGCCGTGGGACCTCAGGGAAGCCACTCAGCCCCCCTGACCACCTTGGTATCCCCATCTGTATATGGGGTGTGGTATGAGGGGAACGAGGAAGTACTTTAGGTCTTAGGAAATGAGTTGCCACATTATATAAAAATCATAAAGTGTGGCTATAATTACATTACATCACCACCACGATGACCAAGCTCCTTCGAGAAGGCATCTAAACAACCGGAGTTGTTCACAGGGCCTCCTCCCAGGGCCCCCACAGCTGCTTAGCACAGAGAGAAAGAGACTTGGCCAAGGTCACGTGGCCAGGAGCTGGCAGAGCCCAGCCAACGCCCAGGGCTTGCTCCAGGGCCTTTTCTGCTGACCCAGGCTGGCCTAACGCCCCTCCTACTGGGTGCCTGCAGCACAGGGGACGAGCGTCCCTTCTCCTGACTCAGGCCCAGGGTTTGCCTGCTGGCCGAAGGCTGGAGCACTGAGGTGGGAACTGGGGGTCGGTGACCCAGATGCACTCACAAGTGAGGGCCTGTCAGGGTGCTGGCAGTGTGACAGCAGTCAGCTCCGTCAGTGCGCCACGGAGAGCATTTGGACCCAGGTGGAGAAAAGTTCAACTCCATTTACGTGGGTGGGTATCGCCCATAGGGGGCTCACTATCTCCCCACCCCCAACCAGGGCCCTGAGCAAGTCTCAGAGCAGGGCTGACCCAGGAGGGTCAGAGTGTGTGTGCGTGCGCGCGCGCGTGCGAGTGTGTGCGCGTGCGTGCAAGTGCGCGTGCAAGTGTGTGCAAGCGTGTGTGCAAGCGTGCGTGTGCGAGCATGTGTGCATGCAAGCATGTGTGTGCGCGTATGCACACCTGTGTGCGCGCGAGCGTGTGTGTGTACATGTGTGTACATGCAAGCAAGCGCGCACGTGTGTGTGTGTGTGTGTGTGTGTGTGTGTGTGTGTTGCAGGAAGGCCGGGGATGGCAAGTAAGCAGCATCTGTTTGCATCCCCAGTCCAAGAGTTCATCTGGGGAATACACACTGCCTTTCCACCCTTCAGCTTTCTTTCCTTGGCAGAGTCTGAGTTTAACCACATAAATGGGAAGAGATGAGCTACAGTGCCTGTCACCTAACGAGGCACCGTGGTCACTGAGCCTCTTGGGAGAGAGGAGCCTTGGAATAGATGATCTCAACAGCAGGTAGTCCTTCAACCAATTATTGGGAAGCCCACAGGCCCCTGCAGATGTTTTTCCTTCCCAGTGACATTTCACTCCTGTCGATGGTCAAATGAACCTATTGCACAAGAACACCCCCCGCCTCCCATGGCCTGGCAGTGGAGAAGCTGATCTGGGCGGGAGACCCCTCCTGAGGCCACCACAGCACTTGGAGGCTGTTGAGAGCGGTCAGTTCCCAGCTCGGCCCTTAAGGGGCTGACGGGAGAAAGGGGCTTGGAGAGGCAAGTCAGTCATTCAGAGGATCACTGCACGCCCCACCCTGTGCTCCTCACCAGGGAGCCGGAGCTGGCTGCGTTCATTCGCTGCCGAGAGCCATGGCGGAGGAGAGGGCAGGACCCCTCAGAGCTGCACTCCCCACACCTGTGGGGCCAGGTCAGGCGTGGGGGCTGGACAGCTCTGGTCAGCTCCTCTCCTGCCAGGTCCTGGCACTGGCTCTGGGAAGCTTGCCTCCCTCTGACACTCAGTGCCCTGCCCCATCAAACTATGCAGTCACACTAAAAAATGAGACCCGGGAGACAGAGAT